CGAACTTTTAAAACTGAGCTGGGACTAAACTTGCTTAGTTTCGGGTTTGTTTCTTGATTGGCAAAAGTTGGGTCAATTTTGGCTGAGGATTTTTAGGCCAAAAAAGATGCTTAGAACTGGTTTTTTTTCCTTGAACCGCCCCTCCATTGCTTTAAGAAAAACCAATTTACCCCAAACAAGGCTAGGATCAGCCGCGACCCTATTTGGAGGATTTTGCCAAACACACCTATACTCTACCTTACCTCTCCTCCTACCAAACCATGCCTATGTGATGTTTTTTCCTCTTTCTCAAGAACATTTTAGTTATTTAATAATTATAACTAGGGCTCCACCAAAAAATGTTTAAGTTTTATGCATGGGGGTTTTGTAAGGCATCAAATATTTTGGAGTTTTATGAGATAAAAAAAAAGGATTGTGTGCAAACCCACCAAAATTAAGTGGGTTTTGTAAAATTAATAGCAATCATATATTCGTAGTTAGTAGAATTCGGTACCCATGATTTTTGTTCGCCAGGACACAGATACAATATACACTGATTATACATCCTTGATTTGCATAGTGTGCCTTTTGTACTTATAGGCTTCCCCTAACACATAAATAAGGGTTAACTATGAGCAATATACCTACATTTCTTCTTGTGTACCAAACAAATTTTCTCAAAACATAAAAAAACATGAATATTATATGTGATGTAAGAGTTGGATTCAACATCACATGACCAAGCTACTTTTTTTTGCAAAGTACACATCCTCTCAGAACCTCCTGCACGGTGTGGGAGGTTTTGAGTCGTGGATGTGCTAAAGGAAGGGGGGCGGGGGGTAGTATGTGACATTTCATTGCCCCTAATGAATTAGAACACTTCATGTGTGGGGTGTATAGAAAGTGAGCTCTTATTCGCATGCTTGGTGAGGATCAGATATTCAGAAAACTATCAGCAGATATTTCATAGAGAATGAGGTCAGAAGTATACAAATTTTAAATTTATTTCAAAGTGGGGTTGTTGATGTTAATAATCAAACATGTAATATAGTGGGGTGAGGTTGATTAGGGGCCACTCACTTCTCTGAATATCTGGTTTTGAGTTGAGTAGCTTTAGCTTGCACAAATAGCAACTCGTAAGAGGACGGGGACTAGTTCCCTCGTAGTTCCTTCGACGATCGAGTCAGTTGGTGGACTTGAGTAAGAAAATGATGAACCGTGTGAGTTCTAAAGTGTAGTACAGTTTAATTTGCAGATATTGCTTGGAAAAATATAGCCTTGGATAAAATCTTAGAAAATTCTTCTTCATGTTGAGAATAATACCTCTATTTATAGGGGTGGAAAAAGGGTAGAACGGTAATCTTGGCCGAGTACAAGATGACGATAAACATGTATGGCCTGACGGATACGTCAGCACCAACTTTACAAGTGTCGGTTGATGAGTGGAGGAGAAACCTCAGTATTTAATGTGAAGTGATTGGGGACATGACGGTACCGACGTGGTTCGATAAGTCATGAATATACTATCAATGTTAGAGGCATGATGGCGCCTGTCAAGCATTAAATATGACGTCAACGCGTTGTCAGCGGGGAAGGCTCGAGTTTGAAGTCGTCCTTTAGCTTGGTCGAGAAGTAACACCTCTCGAGTCGACCTCGCGAGGCGTTGAATAATTGGTCGAGTGGGCTCGTAACGAGTCGTCTACAATGAGAGAACCGATAAGTATTGTCATTCGAGTCGACCTAAGGAGATGTCGAATTGACGAGTCTGCTAAGTCGGGATTCTTGGTGGTCCTAGTCATCAATATGATTTGAGCGGTGCTTGTAGGGAGACATCTGTCCGTTGCTGGCAAATGGTCGTACTTTGACGACTGAGAACACCATAACAGGAGTAAAATTCAAAATATATAAAGAGTTTAAGGAGAGGAAAAATGGTGTCATTGGTTACAGATGGGTAGCTAACATGCCTTGAGCAATGTGGAAGAGGACGTTGGTGGTCCCATTTTTGAAGAACAAGGCGTTTCTTTTCTTCTGTTTTACTCCTTTGACGTGTCTCGAAACCTTTGATGTCTTATTGTATTGTTTTGTTTTTTATTTTATGGAGTTTTTATGCAACATAGTTTTGGTACAAGAAAATTTACGTGTGGATCTAAGATTATAATGTATGTTTTTTATACCTTAGATATAAATTTTATGTTTTTTATACCTTAGATATAAATTTTATGAGAAATAGAAATGTTACATATTACTTAATACCTTGAATTTTAAGTTCAAAATGTGGCGCTTATCTTAGTCAATCCAAATATGTTAAAGTATAAAACTATGACCTTCCATTCTCCCAAACATTAGAAATTTAGTGCATTAACAGAGTCTTTCGACATGTTACCAGAGGAATCTATGCTTAAGTTTTATATTCTCCATGGATCTGTACAACTGATTTAATTCGCCTTTAAATCCAATTCAAATGTGACAAACTCCTCAAGACTAGGTCATAATCAATCTTGATCCTGTTTTGATATAAAATTGGTTCTGTTTTGATCTATTGGGGGCTTATCAAAACAAAACTAGTTTTTAGGGGACTTTTCTTGTCCGTGGCAACTTGACCAGCATTGCTTAGGTTATTCCCAAACAAGTTTCTTAATTCATAATACAGAACCAAGATCAATCGTGATCCCATTTTGGGAGTTTACCAAACATACTCCTAGAAAAAACAGAATTAAATAGTCTTTTTGCATGGTGAAATTTGCGTACAAATAAGACTTGATTATGCCATAACTAGTTATCTTTGTTAACTGCAAGACTCATCTACAGATTAAAATGTTAGTTTCCTGCTGAGACCCCTCCTCCCGTCCCCTGCTCCCCCTGCCGCCCCGAAAAAAGAAATCGTAAAAGCTTTTATAAAATCTCTTTGCCGCTGATGCAATATTCTTCTTCACTAGTTACTATAGACCTTATTATTGAGCTATGTAATACCTCGACATAATTTGATTTTCACACTTCTTTGTACTCATATGAAAAATTTAACCTAATTTCCTGTACAAGAGAATACCCATCGCTCACTAATTATTATCTTCATTTTAACATGTGAAATTTTTTTACTTAAAAACAATTTTACTCTTTTGGGTGATGCTTTTGGGAACTATTACACTTTTAAAGAATTTCTGCCGATATTAATAATTACACATATAATATAATGGGGGTGAGGTTGATTAAGGGCCGCTAACTTATCTGAATATCTAGTTTTGAGTTGATTAGCTTCTTCCTGCACAAATAGCAACTCGTAAAAGGACAAGCACTAGTTCCCCCGTTGTTCCTCCGACGATCAAGTCAATGGACTTGAGTGGGAAAGTGATGAACTGTGCGAGTTCTTAAGTGCAGTGGAGTGGAGAAGAGTTCTGAGAAATTGCTTGCTTACCCTGGTATTTGGAAATAGTACCCCTATTTATAGTGGTGGTAAAATGGCAGAATAAAAATTTCGACCGAGTATAGGATGACGGTCACGCCTGCATCTGCTTTACATGTGTCGGTCGACAAATGGAGGAGAGGTCACCCTAGTATTTAATACGAAGTGATTGGGGGTAAGCGGTGCAGAGGTGGTCCGATGAGTCATAAAGACTATTTGCGGTAGAGGAATGATGGCGCCTGCCAAACATTTAATGTGAAGCAAGCGTGTTGTCAGCGGGGTAGGTTCGAGGTTGAAGTCGTCCTTAGGCTTGTAGCGTGGGGTGTCGAAAGGTAACGTCTTTCCAGTCGACCCTGCAAGGTGTCAAATAATTGGTCGAATAGGCTCCCAGCGAGTCGTCTTCTACACGAGGAACGACAAGTACCGCCCTTCAAGTCCATCTAAGCAGATGTCAACTCGACGAGTCGGGATTCTTGGTGGTCCTGACTGTCAATTCGATTTGAGCGGTGCATGTAGGGGGACACATGTCCGTTACTAACAAATTGCCGTACTTTGGCGATTAAAAACACCATAACAATTTCTAATGATTATATTTTAACCTTATATTGGTTTTGGCTTGTATCTGTCTCATGGCAATCATCCTCCTCTGTTTATCCTCACACGGGTCGCGTGGCGACATAAATCACATTTTAGCATGGGATGTACAACATTCCATTTTCGTACCAGAGCCAGCCGTTTTCCGCTCAGTATCCCTATTTTTTACATCCATATATGGAAGTAAGATACGCATATCAATAACCGTATCCCCATAACCATTCTTGTGTATGTGTATAAGTAACGAGCAATGGATGTGTCCTATGGCAAATCGCATCTTAGCAACACAAATTGTAGGTAAGAGCCTCACTTTGAGAATTTGGGAATAAAACTAAAACTTTTCTTTCATCAGAAAAATTCAATTTGTATTTACTCTAGAATAATTCCAACATTTAGATGGACAATATTTGTTTTCAGTAGAATGAGCTAGGCGGCGGGGGGTAGAGCCCACTGCCGATATGAATTTCTCAACTAGTCCCCTGATCTTTGATAAAAAAAAAAAAACTTGTCCCCTGATCAATTCAGTCAAATGAAATTTTATTTTTAACTTATATAGATTAAGTAGGGAAATCCCGCACGAAGTTCTTTATGCGTGTAAGACGCATAATCCTCTGAACGAGTATTTAATATAAGTGGCGAAAGAAGCGCGGCCAGGCCCGTCGTTTTGCCGAAAATGCTTCGGACATGTCCATTAGTTCTCCGCTCCCTGACGAAACCCAATTTAATTCTTTCATCCTTCTGGGGGGCGTTTTCGATATCCGAGCAAACAAAACGCACGCCCTCTCCCCCATTTATTGCACCTCCTATCCTCTCTTTCTCGTTCTGGACGTCGAGTGCACCTAACAATAAAGGGAGTGACCTTATCGTCCTTTCCCACTGTTCTGTTGACTCACCCCCCCTACTCTCGCTTTACTCTGCGCATTAAATAACTCGGTGTCCCCCTTTCGTCATTTCGCTACGTGCTGAGGGTGTTATGGTAATATTCCCCCTTTAATACTGTCCTAGGGATTCTCGAGCTATTCACTCCGGTCTCTCTCTCTACTTTCTCTCTCTACTTTCTCTCTCTCTCTCTGCTGTTGCTTGGCAGTACGAGCTTCTGTTCTTCGTCTTTAAAGGTGGCAACTCTCGAGACCGCTTCCGACTTCAATCCTTGCTTCTCTCTCCCCCGCCTTCGTCTTCAAGAAAAACCCTAGGGATCTCTCCGATCTCTATTGCTTCCTCTTAACTATCCGTTCACCTGCTTTGGTGTTCAGCTATGGCTAGGGTTTTGCTTTCTCCCTCCTCGATCGCTCCGTTTCGCTTCGGGCTCTGTCGTTGCTTTTGACGGGAGAGCGTATTTGGCCTCTTTCCTTCGAGGGGTTGTCCTCGGGGGGGAATCTGTGTCCTCTCGTGGATCTTTTTCCGAGATTCGACATTTGTTCTCGCCTTAATTAGAGGAAAGAGGGAAGTAGTTGTTGTGGATCGGGGCCTAGTAAGAGAGGATCAGGGCTCAATTGAGTCGGATTCGGTCGTTATGGGGTTTGCATGTTGCTTCTGAGTCCATTTATCGGGGATCGAGACTTAAACCCGAGGGTTTGAGGAGGTTTCTCCGGAGAGCGGGGGAGCGAAAAGAGAGTTCTTTTCTTCTTCAATTTCCCTTTTATTTAGCGTTTTCTCGTTTTAGGACGCCAAAGATATTGTTTTTCTCTTTCTCGTCTTCAAAGTCTGGGTTGATTGAAGCCAAACCTCCTTTTGAGACCGCCTCTTATCTATTGCCCTCAGTAAGTTAGTTATCGAATCCTGATTATAAAAAAAAATGGCGGCAGCCGTCGCAATTAGAACTAGCAGCGGGAGCAGCGGCGGACTGGAGAAGCACATGGACAGCACGGGGAAGTACGTTCGTTACACAGCAGAGCAAGTCGAGGCCTTGGAAAAGGTCTACGCTGTGTGCCCGAAGCCGAGCTCGATGAGGAGGCAGCAATTGATCCGTGAGAACCCCATCTTATCCAACATTGAACCCAAACAAATTAAAGTTTGGTTCCAAAATCGAAGGTATACTGTTTAATTCTTACTTGTTTTTGGACGCTTGAGGAAGTGTTTGTTCTTTTGGTTCTCTTGAAGTCGGAAATTTTGGCCTTGTTACTACTATTATTATTATGCATGTTGCCTCTTTGTCAGAATTCCTTTTTTTTTTGCTCTATATTTGTCCTTTTAGCCACTTGTATAAATCAAAGAAGAATGATAGAATCACTAGTTGTTTATGTTCTTGTTTAAGAACAGTGGTCAAAGGCAGACTTCATTTGGATGACAACTATTCGATTTAGCGATGGAGCTGTCTTTGATTGTTTGCCTCATTTGTCCTCCATTTGTCTCGTGTACTATTGTCATGGTTCTAATAAAAGCAATACGTCTCCTTGTTTACCACCTTTGAAAAGGGGAAAGCTCTAGCACTGTATATTTTCAATTAACTTTGCAGGCTAACGAGAGTCAGTTTATGGATCAAATTTAAACAGGCTATTTTAATGTCCTTCAGCAAGAAGATGGTGTATGAAATTTCCTCTTTAACTTTGTCGTTATTCAAGTTACTATGACTATTTGGTTGAGGAAATTGTTCATCAGCTAGGGAATTATTTATCAGCTAGGGAATTTTGGCGTTATTGTATTTTCAAATTCTTTTTGGACCAGGCACATTAACACTGTTTTTAGTCTAGTCTACCTCCAAGGTTCCTCTCAATATCTTTTTAAAGAGAGATGTTATTGTTACTGAAATCACTGTTACTGACTCTATCCTTTTCTAGTGAGTTATTTCAGAAAGCTAGCTCTCTTTGTATGGGTGTGGTTATTAGATGCATCTCAACATTTTCTTCAACCCCGTCCCCTTCCTATCGCTCTCTTAGATTGGTTCCTGAGCCGGTGTTATATTGGCAAGTCTAACCCGTATGTAAACGGCTATGCTTTGATTCTAAGAGTATTTATCTCTCAGATGCCGTGAGAAGCAGAGGAAGGAGTCTTCTCGTCTTCAAGCTGTCAATAGGAAGTTGACTGCATTGAACAAGCTTCTGATGGAGGAAAATGAACGCCTCCAAAAACAGGTCGCTCAGTTGGTTCATGAGAACACATACATGAAGCAGCAACTACAAAATGTGGGTTCCCACTTACACTACTTAAATGCTAACCTGTTATTTATAGCTTTATTGGAACTATTGTTTATCCTTGTTTTCCCTCTTATCTGCAGGTATCTCTTGCTAATGACACAAGTTGTGAATCAGTTGTGACGACACCTCAAAATCCTCTTAGGGATGCAAGTAATCCTGCTGGGTAAATCCACTTCTAAATAGTTTTCATTGTGAAAGAAAATTTCTGTGATTGGTTATGCCATTTATGATAATTTGTTTCTGGCAGACTCCTGTCTATTGCTGAGGAGACCTTGACAGAGTTCCTTTCAAAGGCTACGGGAACTGCTGTTGATTGGGTCCAGATGCCCGGGATGAAGGTACTGTGGTTGCTAGAGAAGGGGAAAAGAGTCTGTTTTATACTATTAGTATCTCAACAAAAATTCTTTCTGTAGGCCATAAGCTGTAGAAGGTAAGAGATTATTACATACTCATGTTCGCATAACCTTGTAATTTGCTGCATTTGTTTTGTGCTCAGCCTGGTCCGGATTCAATTGGGATTGTTGCAATTTCACAAACTTGCAGTGGGGTGGCAGCACGAGCCTGCGGTTTAGTGAGTTTAGAGCCTACAAAGGTAAGCTTGTTAAATTTAATCTATTGACGGTTTTAGTTGTCACAGTGATTTATGGACGTAGTTATTTCAGTTGAATAGTTCCAATATTTCATGATTGGGATTGAGTTTTATTTGAGATGTAAGCTAGTATTTTCAATTTTGGTTGATTCAATGATTTGAAGATGAAAGTGGACGAGTAGCTCTTATTTTCTCTTGCTATATTGTTTCTTATATTAGAAGAAATTTGGAGGTTAGTTACTTGGTTTGCATGGATTCTTGCAAGGCGAGCAGGATCACCTTTTGTTCTGCTCGTTGTCCTCCTAGGATTTCCTTTAAGCCTTGACACAGCCATTATTTACACTATAAGAAGTTTGTTACCTGTATAGGAGCTGACCTTTGGTCACTACAGATCCCAAAATTTGGTACCCGCAAAAGATTCTTCAAACCTCCCCTCCTGGCGCGCTCGCCTTGATTTTGACTATTTTAAGAAACAAATTACTATGGAGCTTATATTGCGATTATTACAACTTATACATAAGCTTATATTGCGATTATGACAACTTTTGCATATGGCTCATGCAATTTTGATAAAGACGATGCGGTTCAAATAACAGGTCGCAGAAATTCTCAAAGATCGTCCATCCTGGTTCCGTGATTGTCGGAGTCTTGAAGTTTTCACCATGTTTCCAGCTGGAAATGGAGGCACAATTGAATTGGTGTATATGCAGGTTAGAACTATAAAGCAGTGCACTTCTTGAATAGAAAAATGGTCTCAATTTATTCTTCTCCATCATTTTGTTTTACTTGATTGTGTACTGAGCGCCCTGGTGTTTTGTTCAGATGTATGCTCCAACGACATTGGCCCCTGCACGTGACCTTTGGACTCTGAGGTACACGACAAATTTAGAAGATGGAAGTCTTGTGGTACGGTCTTAAACCCGCTTTATTGTCAATTAGAACGTTCATAGTATTTGTTCAATCATTGACGTTTATACTTGTTCTTTTAATCTGATTTGGGATGCCCCCGAGGCACCTTTATGGTCATTTTTACTAATGATTTTACATCTTAAGGTTTGTGAGAGGTCATTGAGGGGTTCTGGTGGTGGTCCTAGTGCAGCAAGTGCTCACCAGTTTGCAAGAGCTGAGATGTTTCCCAGTGGGCTTTTAATTCGACCATGCGATGGCGGTGGTTCAATTGTACACATTGTTGACCATTTGAATCTTGAGGTTTGTTTCCATCCTAGTATCTTCTATTGGCTATTATTTTATTTCAATCACCTGGCCAAAAACTGCTTGACTCTAGCTGCTTGTTCCACCTCCCTTGGCAGCCATGGAGTGTGCCAGAAGTGCTTCGACCTCTTTACGAGTCATCAAAGGTACTGGCTCAGAAGATGACAGCTGCGGTAGGTGCCTAGATGGTTCCATGATTCTCAACTGAATTTAGTTTCTTTTTTTATTCTAAGTTAGCAGTTATGCATTTTCAATATTTCAGTTTAAATCTGCTACCTGAAACCTGAATTCCATGTATTTTTTGGATACGTTTCTGAGTATTTCTTATGGACGCAAAAGCACATCCCTTACACCTATTTAGATATTTACTTGAAAGTCGCACCTTTTCTTGGAATGACAACTTACTAGTCATATTGTGAAGGCACTGCGCCACATCAGACAAATAGCGCAAGAGATGAGTGGTGAAATGGTGTATCCTCTAGGAAGGCAGCCCGCTGTTTTGCGTACTTTTAGTCAAAAATTGAGCAGGTGATTTTCTTCCCCTCCTAAATCATTAATTTCTATATCAGCTAGTGTACATCCATTGTGCTCGATTAATTTTTCAGCATATTTCTTACCCTTTCAGAGGCTTTAATGATGCTATCAATAGCTTCGTTGATGATGGCTGGTCAGTTATGGGATGTGATGGTGTTGAAGATGTGGTAGTTACTACCAACCCAATGAAGAAAACAAATTCTAATGCTAATCCTGCGAATGCTGTCACCATGCCTGATGGAGTGGTTTGTGCCAAGGCATCAATGCTACTTCAAGTGCGTTTCTAACTTAATATCTAACGTTGATTCTGTTATTTGTTTTCTTTTTTCTTTACTGTCCTTTTTATATGCTTCTGTTAGCATTAAAGTTCAGGTTCTAATGTGTCTGCATTTCCTGTACACCTCTTCCTTCTCCCCTGTTGCGTGTGTATGTTTGGAATGAAGATGTACCACCATTTTCTCAGAAATATTTCAGTTTTATATCTCTTATGCAGAGTTTTATATTGTTCACTTGTTTGTTCAAGGTTTAAATTCCTTTAAGTGGTACACTGTAGCATATTGGGCATGGTAGGGCATTGTTTTAATGAATTTAGTGTCTAATTTGCACGAGTTTCCTTAAGATTTCCTATAACTTGGTTTCTTAGTTTTGACAAGTTTCTTAGTTTTGACAAATCTAAGTGTTCTCTATATCTTAGAATGTTCCACCTGCATTGCTGGTTCGATTCTTGAGGGAACATCGTTCTGAATGGGCTGATTACAACATAGATGCATACTCTGCTTCCAGTTTGAAGGCTGGCTCAGCTTTCTTTCCTGGTCTGAGGTCTACTAGGTTTTCTGGGAGCCAGACAATCATGCATTTGGCTCACACGGTAGAGAATGAGGAGGTAAATGTTGTAAATTCTAAATTTCCTTTCATTTTTCATATTGACTGAAGTATTTTTTTAGCTGGCCAAATCTTTAGAGAAATTGTCATTAAGTATGTCGGATGGATGACTGGTGGTATGTTATGTGATAGGATACAATGTGATTCACCCATAATTAATAAGGTGAGGTAGCTTCAAATGATCGATGGGCTTTATCAGCTGAGATGTTTGATTTAGGCTGACGACTATGCTATGTTTAGGATTTTTGATTCACTCTTGATGGGTTGAAAGGATACAATTAAATAGATGTGTAGTAAAAGTGGATATGTTAGGTTTACTTTCTTTGATAGAGGAGCATGGGTATAATGCACACCTTAAGTCGACATGGATTGCGTTGCTAAATGAAATCATGATTTTTCCTTAATTTGTGTTCGCTTCATATTATTGCTCTTGCTTAAATCTTTGACTTGTGATGTGCTCACATTTAGGATTTATTTTCCGGCAGTTACTTGAGGTAGTTCGTCTTGAAGGCCAGGCTCTTACTCAAGATGAAGCCATTTTATCAAGAGATATTCATCTCCTACAGGTATCAGAAGATTGGTGTTGTATCGGCAGATACCTTTTATATATAGCTGTCTTTCATTATCGATCCCCACTTAATTTAGGAGTGGAGAAATAAGAGCATCGGTTATTGGTACATACCTTTTATATTTTGCTGTCTTTTTCATTGTTGCTCCCCACTTAATTTATGAGTGGAGAAATAAGAGCATCAATTATTGGTTGTGGCATTACTTTTATATGCTTAGCCAACATAAGTACAGCATTAAATGGAAGTTTGCTTCTTTTGGCAGGCCAAGTTTGATTGGAAAATTAAATAACTCTGTAGACTGATATTCCAATAGGCACAAATTTGTGTTCCGTTTATTATTCTGTCCTTATTGTTTGGTTTGTGTTTGACATGCATCAATATCAGCTTTGACATCACACATATGGAGCGCTTACAAAGGTGCTAACAATTGCACGTGTGAAAAAAAAATGTGGTGGTTTGTTGAAGCTTTGAGTATTGAATCTGAAAAAAGCATAATTTAGTTTTGTTAATATACATGGCATAGAATATGCTTTTACCTGAGGTGGTTTCTGGTTGATACTTAACTCTGATAATGGTGGCATGTCAACACATGAACTTCTTATCAACCCAGTTGAAAACAAAGAACCTTACTATTTGAACTTATTAGTTAAAGATTAAATGGATGTCAATACACATAGATAGGAGTTAATGTTGCTGGTCTGAAACTCTAAACCATGATGGCTGTTTGTACTTTGTTTTTCTTCTCAAGTACCCTGAGCTTAGAAAACTAGAATTAGAGTTATACAAGGCAAAATGTATGGTGATTATTTCCAATTCTGAATGCACTTCATTACTGATTTGAACTCTTACTGTGGTTCACATTTGCAATTTGCAGCTCTGTAGTGGAATTGATGAGAATGCCGCTGGATCCTGCGTTCAGCTTGTTTTTGCTCCAATTGATGAGCTTTTCCCAGATGATGCTCCTTTGTTGCCTTCTGGTTTCCGTGTCATTCCGCTGGATTGTAGACCAGTTGAGTATATAACCATGCTTGCACTGACATACATATGCACAGTTAAATTTACTCTGTTACCTTATTCATCTTTTAGGGGATAGGTTTTGATGCACATGCATAAGCTCAAGTAATCATGCAATCCCGTGCTTTGCTGCCATCTGTATCAGACTTGTTATTGTTCTTTTATATAATTTATGTGTCGTAACTCATTGCAACTGGAATTGGATTTAATTATGATGCCAGCAAGTCTGCTTCAGTTCTGTTTTGGAACATGCGAATAAAAATTCTGTTGTGATTTCACTTGTAAATTAGATAAGCTTTAGCTTAAATTGGTCCAAGAGTCTAGACTTGCTTATGATTTTTATACTCCTGGTTTGAAGAAAACTAATATACCTGTCCTGTTATTCTGTTAATGCGTGATTGTGCGAGACCCTTTCCAGACATCTTTTGGATGATTCTGAAAGTGGTTGCATGCTAACTCAAAAGGGGGTCTGTTTTATTCATGCCCATAAACTGGGAACACGTTAACTTAAGCAGCTTTTTGTTCCTTTCCTTCGGCAAGGCTTCTCACTTACCTTGAAATGCAGGATGGGAACACGTTATCTTTAGCAGCTTTTTGTTTCTTTCCTTTGGCAAGGCTTCTCACTTACCTTGAAATGCAGGATGGGAACACGTTAACCTTAGCAGCTTTTTGTTCCTTTCCTTTGGCAAGGCTTCTCACTTACCTTGAAATGCAGGATGGTTTGAATTCCAATCGTACGTTGGATTTAGCATCTAGTCTTGAAGTGGGTTCTGCTGTAAACCGAACTGGTGGAGAAGCATCTCCAAGTGATTACAGTTTGCGGTCAGTGTTGACAATTGCCTTTCAGTTCCCATATGAATTTCACCTCCAGGAAAGTGTGGCAGGAATGGCCAGGCAATATGTTCGTAACATTGTCTCAGCTGTGCAAAGGGTTTCTATGGCGTTAGCTCCTTCCCAACTTGGATTAAGTTCCAGCAATAAACTTCTCGCTGGATCCCCGGAAGCTGTTACTCTTGCTCGCTGGATTTGCCAAAGCTACAAGTATGTTCTTCTCGTCTTAATGGAAAATTTTGTTATAATTAAATGGAACATTCCATCTCCCTTACCATTTATTATTCATGTAGATAGCATTTACTACTAAAGGAGTTATTCTTAAAATCGATGAAGAAATTATGTGCCTTTTTCTCGTCATGTTTATTTTATTGTGGTACTATGCTTGTCCAATTAAACTTCTTTTATTTATGTGTTTGTGTTTTACAGTTGTCACTTGGGTCTTGATTTGCTGAGATCCACTGAGGAATCAGGAGAATCCTTGTTAAAAATGCTGTGGGATCATCCAGATGCCATATTATGCTGCTCGTTAAAGGTATGGATGACAAGTCAGTTGCTCTTATTACGGTTCTTATCAGTGTAGGAGTCATTATTTGTTGGGCGCAGAGTCACGCCCACCGCCGCGGAAGCGATATGTCCTGAGAGAGAGCCCTGGCTTTTGTTGTCACAAAAGCACAAGTCAACCTCGATATCTGTGTTTCGCGAAGGATACCCAGACTCAGTAGCGAAATATCTCAGCGAAGTGAGATATCCACTCTTCCTCTAATCAGCGCAAGACCGAATTTTGAGGGATCCTAAAAGCAATAGCCAACAACCCAGAAAAACAATAAATACCCGAGATTTACGTGGTTCGGCAAACTTGCCTACGTCCACGGGAGGGGTAAGGGGAGATTCTACTATAAGGAGAACACCGACGACTTGTACAATCCACAAGCTCGTCTCAAAGAAAAAGATCTAATTTTTACCCAAAAGAAATTCACCTCTCTTTTGTAAATCCCTCTTTTTCTCTCTCAACAACTGCTCACACACAGCCGCAAAAGAAACCCTCTGCCTAGCCGCTGTTTCACCTCTGCAGCCGAAAATTTTCTCAAGCTCTCTGCTTTTTGATTTTTTTTTTTTCCGCAGACTTTTCCCAGCGTAGCCTTTTGTTCCCCCTGCAGCAAACCCTAGAGAGAGACCGGATATTTATAGGAAAGGGACTTGGGTCTTGGCTTTTACCCGCTGGACGTGGGCGTTGGCCAGCTTTTACCTGCTGATAGCTATCTCTTTTTCCGTGAAAAGATAAGCTTTAATACCCGACTCGACCTGGTGAAAAATCAGCTTCCTCACGCGTTATTTGCTCACACGACGTTATCTCCTCACGCGCATGTGGATGGTCCCCACTGGACACCGCTGTTCACATTATTTGTTATCATGTCCCTTAAATGTGTAACATTGAGAAAATCTGTACTCCATATCCTTCTAAAGTATCTGGTATAAACTTGGAGCTCTTTCATATAGCTGAGGCTAGGAAAGCTAGGGGAAACAAGATAGTAAGAAAAGACTGTGTAGTGTCTGCATAAATTGGTAGGGGAGGCTGTTAGCAATATTAGCTATTTTCTTAACATGCAAGCTTGATTCCGGTGGTTCTGGAGTGGACTTTTCTTATCCTGTGATGGGTTTTATGTCGGTCAAAGGGTGTTGAATAAAGAGCAAATTGCTATAAGACCTTTCTTCAAAATTGGATTTGTTAATAGCAAGTAATGGTTACTTCTCTATGGATAACTGACTTATTATTTGCTCACACGACGTTATCTCCTCACGCGCATGTGGATGGTCCCCACTGGACACCGCTGTTCACATTATTTGTTATCATGTCCCTTAAATGTGTAACATTGAGAAAATCTGTACTCCATATCCTTCTAAAGTATCTGGTATAAACTTGGAGCTCTTTCATATAGCTGAGGCTAGGAAAGCTAGGGGAAACAAGATAGTAAGAAAAGACTGTGTAGTGTCTGCATAAATTGGTAGGGGAGGCTGTTAGCAATATTAGCTATTTTCTTAACATGCAAGCTTGATTCCGGTGGTTCTGGAGTGGACTTTTCTTATCCTGTGATGGGTTTTATGTCGGTCAAAGGGTGTTGAATAAAGAGCAAATTGCTATAAGACCTTTCTTCAAAATTGGATTTGTTAATAGCAAGTAATGGTTACTTCTCTATGGATAACTGACTTAGCTCATATAATTTTCAGATGCAACCAGTATTCACCTTTGCAAACCAAGCAGGGCTTGATATGTTGGAAACAACACTGGTTGCCTTGCAAGACATTACTCTGGAAAAGATCTTTGATGAGCCTGGGCGGGCAGCACTCTGCTCTGACTTCTCCAAGTTAATGGAACAGGTACTCATGATTCTCATCTGGCAAATATCTTATTGCTCGCTTTTTTTTTGCACGACTTATAGCAGAAAAAGTATAAAGCTTCTAAGTTCATATTAGTTGAAGTTAACACTAGTGAAATTAGCACGTATAATTAGTGAATCATGATGGTTTGTTGCCTTCCGAGCTCCCACCTAGAATTTGTAATGTGAACAATGTACCGGCGGTCAGGGTTTTTGTGGGCCCTGTTTGTTTGAGAATTTGTAGCTTTATCATTTCTGGTATTCTGCAGTATCTAGGGTCTTAAGGAATTCCACTATATTTCGCTGCGGGTGGGTCTGTTGACGGTCATGCTTTGCTCAGCTGGTGGAATGGGCACTGCTTAAGCTTTTACTGTATAAAATGAAATAGTAGTGGCTAACAACCAAGTTGTCCACTATGTTTTTTTTACCATTAATTGACTCCCACTATGAACCTTTACAATTCTTCAGGTCCTTACCAGCTCTCCTTTATGTAAAGTGAGTCCCATTGGTGACATATACGTCATGATTACATCTTAGCACCTAGAACCAAGATTTATGTAAAGTTTATGCTGGTAACAGCATTATAAAGTAATGCATCTGCACATTACCAAGTAATGTTGTTTATATTCAAATAATCTGTGCCGACTCCGCCCCAGTTCTCTGCTGCTGCTGACCTTCCTCTCCCTTGTACTAGGTGCAGATTTTGACGAGAAGACACGTTAATTATTTTTTTACTAAATCATTACACTTGATATTCTTGGTTAAAGAGTTGAGTGTTATGGTATTTGGTGTTCCAGGGATACTCGTATCTGCCGGGAGGTGTTTGTTTGTCAGGGATGGGGCGTAGTGTTTCATACGAGCAGGCAGTCGCCTGGAAAGTCATGGATTTAGAGAACAACCTTCACTGCTTGGCCATATGCTTCATGAACTGGTCTTTTGTTTGAGCTGAAGCCCGGGGGTGGTGTCTTCCTATTTTTGTAAGCAAAAAAAAAGAAAATCCGAAAATTGAATGTTTATTCTGGTGAAAACAGTCGGGTTTTTAGCTTTGGAAGGTCTTAATTGGGAGCTGCAACCTTGTATTGTCGTGACTCGTGAGGTGTTGTATTTTGTAGCTTTAAGTAAATTAAAGAATTTTGCATTTTGTCCATCATGTCGGTCGCATCGCTGCGTCTATTATTGCTCTGTAGCAGCAATTTTGTTAAATCGGGAAGCTTTTTGACGCAGCTGCTGGTGGTCAAATGTTGTTGTTCTTTTAGTGAGACTTAAAAACTTCTTAAGTTTAATTTTTCTTGGCTATCCTAAAGACGTATGATTCCTGTGCCTAGGCTGCGCAAAATATCACAAATCAAATAGGAAATATTCAGTTCTGGCAGCTAAATTAGTGCGAAAATAAAGTGACGATCGTTGTTCTAAGCGTCTGGATGCTAGACAACATCTGTGTCTGTGATCTCGGTATTCATTTACCAAAACGCAAAGAGGATGCAGCGACAACCACAGAATCATAGGATCTCAGCATGAACATAACCTAGCCATTACCTACATCTGTAGAAACAAAAGAAGAGAACCAACCACAGGCATCAGCTTTCAAAATTTCTTCCAACCGATGGATTGACGCTCAAGGTGATTTCTGTTTCAGCCGAGGAAGAGAAGCGCCCAATCTCTCTTCCAACCGAGGGGTTAAAAGCTTCCAGCATTCCTCTTCCAAGGAAGCACAACAAAACACTCACTAGGCAGTAAAACACAGCATATAGAGAGACTCCATCTAAACCCTCAACGGAAGTTGTTGTAGTAGGATGGTGGCATGCACAATTAGGTTTCGGAAGCTGCCACGCGAAACAGTACCTCCCCTCGCTGACCAGAGCACCTGAACCTGCGACAAGCTATGTCATAAGAGGCCCATATCATGCGTGCTGCTTGCCAACTGTTTAGTTTTGCATCTATGAAGCTAATAGTAAAACACTAGTGCAACTGTAGCCTGATAAACTGCTAGGTGAAAACAAAAAATAAGGTAGGGAAAAAAGAAAAGGCAAAAGAAGGAAGTCTGAAAATCTTCAGCTAGCAGCATCAAATCTCTAGCCGCTTCAGCCGTTCTGCCGCATCAGATTCTACGGAGCCACTTGCTTCTCTACCTACTACAATATCATTCTGAATTGCTGGCTCCTCGTCCTTCATCTCTGCAATCATCTCTGCAATCCCTGGAACTGCTAACTTCACATCCTTAACCTCTGCGCTCTCTGAAACTGCTAACTTCACATCCTTCACCTCTGCAACATCCGGAACTACTAGCTTCACATCCTTCTCTCCGACCTCCGAGATTGTTGGCCTGACATCCTTCACCCCTGCATCATCCTGCATTATTGGCTTCACTGCTTTTGCGCAGATTACCGGTGCTAATTGTTGCTTTGTCTGTACTGGACGAATCACCACTGGTGCAGGAGACGGACCGGGAGGAGGAGCAGAAAAAACCGGTACTGCCTGCCTAATGCGAACCGGTGATGCCATTCTTATTGGCTGTGGGCTCATCGCCGGAGAAAGATGATGTCCAGCTGATGGTGGTGGAAGAGGAGGAGCAGAAAAACATGGCACTGCTGACCTTATAGTCACCGGTGGGGCCATGCCATGGTATGGCATTCTGTATTGTTGCCTGATCGGCACGTACGGTGGAGCTCCGGCTGCCGGGAACTTCTGAGGCATGAAAGGAACTGTTGATGAACCTTCGGAAGGTGCTGGGGATGTGGGTCTCGATCTCGGGGTTGATTTTGGGCGGATTAGAGGAAGTATCTTTGACCCAGCCTGTGAGGGAGGTTGCAGTGACGTTGATGGTCTCTTTTCAGGTTGTATGGGGAACTTCTTTGGGAATGGGATTGCATTGGGGTTGTTGGCCATTGCAATCTTTTCCTTGAGACGGTAGTTGAGAAGGGCTCGGGCTATTGTGATTTGCTCTTGTTCATCATTGTTCTCTGGTTCGTTTGATGAGCTTGCAGCTTGGCGTGCCACTGTTGCATTTTAAGATAGAATCATAGAAGTCATTTAGAATTGGCAGTGTCTAAAATTATATAGCACATAAAAAATTTTAACATAAGGAGCTGGCGATCAATTCATCCGAATTGAATCTTGGAACGTCCGGAAGCTTAATAACACTCATATGAAAAGAGATGTACATATACAAACCACAGACCAACAAAGTCGAGAGATATGGGATGCAAGATTTTTCCTAAACTGACAACAGAAATTATATAACCCAACTAACTATTGTCATCAACAATATTTGGTTTTCGAACTTAAAAGGGCTGCATATCAGAGTTCTACTCAAATGGAGATATCCAAACCAAGATAACTATATAAATATGAGGAAACTGAACTGCTAAATGCAGGGTGCATTTTCTGTCACGCAATTTAGCTTACGCAATAAAGAAGCTCTACCAGTATTTTCACTCAGAAAAAGTAACTTGGTGTCTAATTGGAGAAGATTTTGGCAAGGGAAATTATGCTGCAAAATAGTATGAAGCTACATTTTATCTATTTTCTCCCTGCTAATGCCAGATATTCACAATTCAATCCACAAGCTAGCAAATTTTTCCTGTCTGACATCTAAGCCTGTAACCGAGTACATGAAGCTCAAAATTCAAAACCAAACCACTCAAATTTGATGACCTATCACTTACGAATAGCCAAAAGTTGAAATTATTCATTACTGCTATTAATCTTCAGATAGCTTGAGCAATTAAAATATTCTCCCTTCACTCATATCCTCTTTATGCACATGAAACTGTCTACTTGTGATATCACAGTTGTATCATCTTCAGATAGCTTGATTGTTAACATCATAGATACAGCACCGTATCGTATGATACAAAATGAGGCTAGCAAAAATAGTAAAGGATACTGACTTGTCACAATATCAGAACCCAGAAGGTTCATATGTCATGTGACACCTCTTGTATTGTATGATACGGTATAAAAATCTTACAAATCTTATAACATATCAATGTGAAAGGGGTATGGCTTTTTGAGACTTTTGGGTCCACAAATTATTATAGTTATGCAGATATAAATAGAGGAAACCAATTGAATTAGGATTTTTCCAATGATTGGTGAACAAAAAGGAAGCTATCATTGTTGAAGATGATGACATGGTTAATGGATTGAGAATTACTAATTGGATTTAAATTGGCTTTATTTGCCATTTCTTGAATGATTTAAAACTTAAAACTTATGTACTTGGATAAGGTTTAGAAATATATGGTGTCAAACGGCCTAACCTAGTTTATCTCTATGGATGTTGTGGTTGAACTTTAACTAAATGGTGCTAGGTTGAACAGATAAAAATCAGAATAAAATCATGATGCATATTCTATACGGATACACATAATCAGAGTTGGCTGTAACTGTGAAAATTTATAATTCAACTATGAAGCAACTGTAAAATCCATCATATGTTTACATATTCATAACACAATGAAATTATGTAATTATATGTTTTTACCATTTTAACTCCCTTTTATCAGTGCTTTAAATATGCCCATAATTTTGTATACACATTGTTGTATCTTGATTAGTTAACAATTACACATTGGTTTATCTTAAGTACATGACACAAGACGATAGATGATATGCATCTTAATTTTCACAACTTTGGTATAGATATTTTCATTCATTTAACCCACACGACACAAGACGATAGATGATATGCATCTTAATTTTCACAACTTTGGTATAGATACTTTCATTCATTTAACCCACTTAACTATAATAATTCTTTAGTAATTTTGAAACATTAGCTAAGGATCCGGTTTCTACAATCTTCTTGATTGTCATTTAAGTCTATTCATCTCCAATGAGGTCAAATGGGAAGCACAGTCTAACTTAATGCGACTCCACGAATAAGACTTTGCAACCAGTCATCAACTTACATTGAGTGGGATAATTACATTACTTCAACCTCCAAATTCTAAAACAAGAAATCAGAAGACAGACTTAATATAAAAGCCCAACTTGACAGAGTCATCATCGCCTCTGATCTATGATACTCGGTATAAAGTGCATCTAAATTTTCAATCCTGATTAATGGGGTTTCTCAGGTTTTCTCTCTTTAGTACTAGATAGGCGCTAGAAGTAGAGGAAATATTTGAATAGTAACTTACATTGTTTCAATGAAGACCATGCTGCCATGGCAGCATTCTTCTCTGCCTGCTTCTTGCTCTTAGCTGGTTCGCCAGTGAATGTGATTCCGGCGAGTTCCACCGTGCACGTGAAGACAGGTAGGTGTCCAAGTCCTGATCGGAAAGTTGTATATGATGGCAGTGGGGCTCCCACTCTCTGAGATATTTCCTGCAAGAGGTTTTTATAAACCCCCGTCTCGTCCTGCTTAAGACAAAACGCAGAAGTTCAAGCGTTGAATGCATGATGCTGCAATTAAAAAAGAACTGAAAGGAACCAGTAGAACAAAAATAATACATTGAGGAATTATGCTACAAATTAACCAACAAATGCCACTTGTGATGTTTGACCGTTAAAGAACTTACGGAAGCGGTATAATGTTAAAACATGTAATAAGCATCAAGGGCTTTTCAGTTCAAAGACCTAAATTGTATAATAATAATCAAAACAAAATTGGTGGCAACAACTTTTCTCCTTTTTGTTCTGGGAAAAAGGCATTTGCAACACTCCACGCTACTAAGTTTTCTGCAGCCAATTAACAGGTTAGCAAATTCATAACTGGTCATCACATATCAAATTGTTTGAGATATGCATGTAGTCTATCACAAAAAACCGACTCCTACACAGACAAGTTGGTCCTTAGTTGCAAGGTTGACGGGCTTAAAAAAATCAAACTTCATACAAACTGGAAACTTGGTTTGTTCAGTGGAGAGTATATGTGTCAATTCATGTGTTCCACAATATTTACAGTCATCATTTCAGCATGAATGAAGTCTGTATCCACGCTAGCAATGTGGATCAATTACGGCACAAGTTCAATATACATGCGACTAATGATACATAAATAGACACAATGCCCTTTGTTGTCAATAATTGAAACATTTTAAAAATCACCTAGTAGAGGGAACATCAGAAATAGTCAAAGTCTGACCAAATTTTAAACGTTGTGGAACCCTACAACCATTGCCTCAAAAGTCATGGGCTGCGTATGAGGCCAAATTAATTTAGATACATCATAACAAATTTTAATGTTGTGTAACCTAGAAATTTTCTCTGTTACCAAGCAATAATAATAATAATAAAGTAACTTGGCTTGGAAATGATCAGGTCACCGTCGACGAACTATTCTGTCCACCAAACTCGCTGATTCAGGATCGAGGAAGCCTTTTGACTTGAAGTTTCTAAGGCACCCCCACTAACCCCAAATGGGATTATAAGGAGGGGGGAAGAAAAACCAGAGGAAAAGCCACCACAGTCTTCTTACGTGTGGGCGCCACCATTGGCTGTCTTATTCGAGACGGAGCATGTGAACGGACCTCAGTTTACAAAAAGTTGGGGAGCAGATTTAATGGCTTGAGGACCAACGAAAACAGCGTCTTAATTATTAGTTTTCAGATTTAAAAAGAATCATTAGTGAAGTGAATTAAATAGTTAGCCCAAAAAGCGACATCCAAACAGAGTCTGCCGAATGGCACGTTCACTCGTGCCGAAAATGCCCCTCCGCCTCAAGTTAGTATTTAGACAAATATGTACTTTCCCCGAGAAATAAATAAGTTTGTTCAGAAACCCTAGGTTTTTTTTAATGAAGCTCGCTTGGAACCAAAAATTAACAAATGGAAAATAAAAAAGATTAAAATTAAAAATAAAATAACAGGCTGAACACCGTCGCCGTGTGGTACTAAGCCTGATCATAAAACAAAATACAAGTACGCGTACTCGAACTCCCCCAATCCAAACTCAGCTCGTAACTCGAGTTCCCCTTTTTTCCAAAACTTGCTAATACTTGCTATTATTAATCAGCTCCACCGTGATAACAAATATTAACCATGGAATCTCCGATTTTTTTTTTCTTTACGAATATAGATTTCTACATTTCCGAATTCAACCCCAATTTCCTTCTAGTCTTCTCAATTATTACCAAGGACATCAATGAAATTAAAAAGAAAATTAAATTTAAACCCAAGCAGCGAGCTCATCTTTTACGCCTTCAATTAGATCAACATTAGCTAGTGAAGTGGATCCTCAAAAATGAAAAACAAAATAAAAAGGAAAGAATCACTAGGATTCAACTAATGACCTCGCGCAACCACTAGGCGTTACTAAACTCAAGATGATGATGTTCCTGCTTCAATTCCGTCAAAATTGGGATGATTTTACTCACAAGTTTCTGCCTTTTATCAGCAGATCAAGTTCGCCTCCTACTCACGTCTCGCAAAAATTACCAAAAATAGAAATAACGTCGATTCTCGGAGCTAGCTTTCCCCCTAGCTCCAAGAAAAAAAAATAAAAAAAAATAAAGTTCGAAGAAATACCAGGATCCGAGCAGCGAGGGAGTGAGAGGGTCCCCGGTGAGAAAGGGAGTTGAGCGCCACCTCAGCAGCGGAGTGCTCCGCTTGCCTCAGCGTCGTGCAAAAGCTGGGGCTCTCGAAAACCTCGCCGTTAAAGTTAACGGTGGCCTTAAACCTGGGCGCGTGGTCAGGCCCCTCCCTTATACACGTGTACGACGGCAGATTGAAGCAGCTCCGTTGAGCTAGCTCCTGCAGCTGGTTCTTGTACATCCTCTTCCCCCCCCCGCTTTGCTTCGCCTCCCCCAGCTAGCGCTTCTCCAAAATCGCTTACGATCACCGCGCGGGGACCGGATCCGAGCTCCTATCTCGATTCCCCGTGAGGAGACGCCAGATCGGACCGCCGCCGGGAGGTGATCAGATCTCCGCCGTCGAGTCTGTCCGCGATCGGCGAGGAATTTGGGGGAGAGGTTTATTTAGGGGGGGTGTTTTCTTTTTCTCGTAATAATTAAAAGTCTACTCCATTGAAAGATAGAGATCTGGAAAGAGGGTAAGAACGGGGAAGAGAGAGAGAGAGAGAAGAAGAAGAAAATGAGATGGATAATAACAATAAAAGCGAGCAGAAGTCTTTTATGAGGTTTTATTACTACTGCTTCTTCTTTTTTTTTTTTTTTTTTTTTTTCAATTTAAAATTTGGGATCAACGTTTGTTTCAACTGTTGAGATGATAGTAGAGTGAGACTTTCGCGTAAGGGCCCACGCTCAAAATAGTATCAGCCCCCTTAAATCGTAGATAATTTGATACTAACCACTCAAGTCCTCATATTTTGATTTTAGCCCCTCGAATAGGTATGATATGCTGATATGAGCCCCTCTGGTTAGATGGTGTTAAAAGTTGAGGGGAATGTTTTGTTTGCTCTAACCCATTTAAATCAAACTCGTTAGGAACTCCCTAAAACCCAAACCCGTTCCCTATTGCTTCTCTTCCCCAATAAGAAAATTTTAAGGAAACCTTAGACATCAACGACTATATAAATTGACGGAACTCTAGCAAACGACATCAAGCCATTGATGCTCCTCCAAACTCCAATTCTCATTCTCAAACCTCTTCATCCGCCAAGTTATTCATGGAGTATACGGGTTCCAATTCAATTGGTAATGGAGCTAGTGTTGATGGGGCTAACGCGAGGTGTTTTTATGGGTTGCAATACAGAATTTAGGACTTGCAAGCAAGAAGAGAATAAGGGTCTACAATTCTGTGGCTGCACACTGTAGGCAATAAAAATTGCCTTTATCCCAAAATTGAGAAGTTCGCCTGCAAGACTTCGCCTGCATGCTCAAGATCGCAAGAATAAAGCTCATTTGGCTTGTTCGCTTGCATCAAACAAGCTAAGCTCGCCTGAACGCTTGACTTCGTAGGCGAAGCGAAGTTCGCCTACGCAATGGACTTCACCCAGAAAGAACTGAGCTCGCCTGAACGTTCAGTTCGCCAGCTGGCAAATTAGCTCGCCTGAATGCTTAGCTCGCCCGCACGAACCAGGCTCGTTTGCAAGAGGTTCGCATGCATGAACCAAGCTCGCCAACATGATCTAAGCTCGCCTGAATGCTCCTGAGGTTTGCCTGACAACCTCGTCTGTTCGCCTAGCTCGACTGCAAGCTCGCTTGAGCGTTTAACTCGCTTGCAAGCTCGCCTGCTAGCTCGCCTAAGCGGTTAGAACCACTTCCCACGATTTGAGGGATTTGGGTATGGTTCTCCTCAGCTATAGTTGTGGGAATAATCACTTCCCATGATTTAAGGGAATGGTTATGGTCATCCTCAACTATAATTGTGGGAATGATCACTTCCCACAATTTAAAGGATTGGCCATGACTCTCCTTAGCCATAAATAGCCATGTTCGGCTACATGAAAAGGGGGAGGGCTCTCGGACTAATTTGGATTTTGGATCATCTTGGCATCTTGCTGGAACTCTTTTGGCAACCGGTCTTTTGGGAGATAAAAGAACCGAATTTTGCCTCTTGAGCATTCGGCCTTGATTCCAAGCTCGGGTGATCGAACTCTTCATCTCAAGTTTCTACCACGCGCTGAATCTTTCCCACAATCTCGTTCAAATCGCTCAAGGGAAACAAACTCGGCATGAGCATTGAGGGAGGCATCCTATCGCTACCAAAGAACCCCATGTTAAACAAAAAGAGATCGAATCAATTCTCTTCGCTTTTGTGTAAAAAGTGATCTATTGATTTGTAATACAATTTTAATTAATACAAATCTAGAATCAAATTTTACAACCTACACACACAATATAGAAATTCATCATACACTGATCGTGGTTACTTTGCTAGGGTATATGACAATAAGAAGTTTGATTGTGAAAACGTCAAAAGAAGTGAGTTTGTTGGCTAAGAAGTTTTTTGCAAATATTATTGTTGATGATGATTATTTTGGTCGTGTTAGGGATATTGATTATTGTAGAGTTATGTAAGATGTTTGAGAGTGTAATGTTGGAGATGCTTTAATTTGAGTATGGTGAAAGAATATGATGTGATTTGAGAAATAGTAATAGTAATTAATGTTATTTGTGAAATTTTCTTAAAGAAAATTTAGTAAGCTTTGTATGTGCACATAAACTAGATAAATGAAGCTGTTGTTTTGTATGGTTTGTATCTACACATAAATCAGAGTAAGTTTATATGTGCCCGGTAACATGTTTTGCATTCTATACACACATGATACATATTGTATTAGTTACATACACGCTAATACAAGATGCACAAAACTGAGTGTATTAACTATTATGTACCTATTAGCACAATACGCACAAAACTTAGTGTAATATTATGTACGTAATGTATCAATACACATAAAAGCAAACTACGAAACCAATATCAATAGCCAATTTGATCTTGCAAACCATAAAAAAGTTAAAGGGAGTTATTTTATAAAATCTGAAAGTTAAAGAAGGTATTGCGATAATCCTTATACTTAAGGGTTTTTTTTCCCAATTTTGGCAGTCAAGCGGGCTTTCTGACCATCATCCAAAATTAAGGGGTGTTTTCTAATATTTACCGTAATAAATACGAGTGCTAGTTTGATAGTAAATTAAGAAAGTGGAGTGAACATATCAAACGGATGTTTTTATTTTTATTTTATTTTTAAATTTTCTTTTTTACTTCCGACGATGACGGTGAAAAGTTCAGCCTGCCTATTTTCATAAGTTAGCACAGTCTGATGAAAATTGACCCCTAGATTACCTGGATGTAAAAAGTCATTAGTTTATAGGTAATAAATCAAGAGACTAAAAGAAAATTATAAGAGAACGTTTCTTAGTATGTGACACTAATTGTAATCAAAAAATTAGTACCTATTAACATATACTAAAGAAAAACAAGATTGATATAGCCCACTCAAAAAACTTAGGATTAAAAATTAAGAAAAAAAAGAAAGACTTTACTCTAAATTTTGAAGATCAACTGAATAAGCCGTATTGTATTGATTCCACTAAGTTCTCATTACTATCATCTTTTTTTTATTAAATTAAGTGTTATTATTCGTTTGTTTGCTTCCCAGCATCTTCTTTTGTGTTTATTTATTTTACGTTGCTCCTATGCATTTTTATGCTTTTTATTGCACAATGTCTGAATATCGCGATTGATCTTCTCTCGTTTTATAATCTGTAGAAACGAGTCATTAAATGGCAATTTCTTACCGTAAGATCATATTTTCTTTGCGCTTATTTTTTTGCAGACTCTGGTTTAGGGTAGAACTAAAGCAGGACTGAGTTTGACCTAATTTCGAGGGGGGTTTGAATCTCAAACAGTGATGAATTTTTCGTTGGCGTTGTTAGATTTAATTTCTGCAGAGAGAGAGCAGCGAACGTGAGCCGTTCGTTTCGGGAGGCCCGAAGCAGGTCGACGGTCGTCATCATATGCACGAATATCAAAGCGTAGAATACCAGCCTTCTGTACAAAATACCAAATGTTTTATTAATGGAGGCTCACGTTATTAATCTGTTTTGTTTGTTGTTATTTAAGAACACGTTGGAACCCCCCCGGAGCAGACAAAAGGCAGCATCCGACACGTTGAGGGGTGTGAAGTTACCCGCGGTAAGTTTAGATTATAACAAAAGACTTTGTTTTACCTCCTTCTGGTGCTCTGTATTAACGAGTCAATTGAATTGAAAGACTTGATTTTTTATAATAAAAAAAAAAGGAAATAATAAAAGAGGCAGGTGACGACGAGGAAGAGTCGGTGACCACACCTTCACACCTCGCTTAAATGCAACGACCGTCTTGCCTAATAAATAAAGGCACTATTCTCCGATAGTTATTTTGCACAATACCACACTTGTATTTCTTTAATTGCAATTTTGCTTTACCCCAGTTTGATCATCCTCTTATTTTCTTTACTTTTCTTTTTTCCCCTCCTCACCTCACCCCTTGTTTTCTCCTCTACTTGGTGTTAGCAATTGAATTAAGGAAGAAATACACGCGAAATCATAAAAGACAGAGTGTACAAGACTTCTAAGATTTTTATATTTTTTCTTTTTATTGACACAAATTATAAGTTTATCTGTTTTATATATCAAGAGAAGTCCCCTTCTAATTTGAGTGAGCCACAATTTTAGAATGCCAAAAATGCTCTCGCGTTTGAAAAAAAACTATGAGAAAAATACAAATAATGGTCTAGCACTTGGTGAAAAAATACAAAATATATAATTAATAGTTAATTAAATATATGTTTTGACAATTTGACTAGAACACTCCTCTGTATCCTATGTCATATACGAACGTGAGCATCAAGCGATTAGTATCATGAGGAAAAAAACCTATAAACATTAATCGCTTGTAAAGATAAAAGATATAGTGCCCTTTGATTAGGGGAAACTTTCTTTTAAAGAATACAAATCAAGGAAAATATAAATATATTTGTTGCGTTCCATTTCATCAGCTTTTTATGCATTTATATCATACAAATTTTTATAAATGAGATGGCTTTTCTGATTTATCTCTTAAACGCTTGATATTTCTTTGGGTTAATCGCGAACATATGCTTTGTAGTATCGTTTAATTGCAAAAAGACACAATGTAATTCTATTATTGCTAAAAGACCGCCTACAGCTCTAGTTGTTGCGAATAGACCCTTTGTAGTATTGGCTCAAGCGCGAATAAACTCTCTTAGTGAGTTGTTTTGACTCGTTTAAAAGCAAAAAATAGTAATTTTCTATACATAATTGCCAATAGAACTCTAAGGAGGCTATCCGCCTCCCCAAATATTTTTAACAATTTTAAGAGTAAATAAAAAAATAAAAAATTCACTCAGCAGTTTATTCGCAAAAAGTAAAACTATGAGGGATCTATTAACAACAAAAAAATTATAAAGAATCTCTTTGCAATTGGGATGATACGAAGAGGGGTTTGTCCGCAATTTAGCCCTATTTCTTACCAAAGTATTCTACTTCATGAACACGGCTCTTCATACAATCTTTTGAATTGTTGGTAAAAGGGCGATTTCTTGCGTTGCGAACAGCACACAAACGATGAGGTTAGTGGATACCACCGTTTACTTTACCCTTTACATCATTCTTTTCGAATGGATTAAGACATGGCTGACCACTTTTTATGAATACTCTCTGGGGCTGTTTGGTTGTTTTCCGGAAAAAATCGGAAATGGAGAACTCAC